GTTGTTTTTACTACCTCAGACGTCTCGAAATATACTCGTTCGATGCAATGTGAAAAGCTGCGTCTAATGAGTATGTTTCGAAACGCCTGACGGAGTAAAAACAATGAAAAAAGCTACTTTTATTGAAAAAGTAAGTGTTGTTCTTCCACATGAAAAATATGAATTTTTTTCATGCTTTCTAAGATTTTCCAAATAGTTTTTTGAATTTTTTATCACAAAAAAAGTGTCTTAAAAATTTTGTTAATGTATACAGTTTTATAGAGCTCGACGAGCTCTATCGAACCATGTAAAAATATTCAAGAAAAACATTTTACTCCATTCTTGAATCACTAGTACTTTAATTTTCCATCCCAACAAAAAGTATAAAATTTCTGAAAATTTATTAAGCTCGACGTTAAAAGGTTTTCATAACCCTCACTATTTAATACCAATAAACCCCATTTTTAACGAGCTTTCATTTGATATAAAATTTATTATGTCTTCTATTTGAAATTATAGCATTACCCCCCTGGAATAATATTTTTTCCAACCGTGTATATATATAATATTATTTCGTTCAATTACTAGAGTATTTCCATCTATCTGATAATTTAACAATTTCGATTCTACACGATATTTTGAGAACTAAATCGCAACCATTTCTTTCTTTAATCGGAACCGAAACTTCAGTTCCGCGTAATTTTAAAATTGCCATTACTCTTTCCTATCAAACTTTTGACAAAAGCACTTATTGCTTAAGATGTGGATGTAGCTGTAGTTGCTGGTGTATGAGCACTCGTACTAACACCCTATACTTATCAACTTTTCCTTAATTTTTTCTATAAAAGAATTTCTTATGAATAATATTATGTTATTTTTTTTTTGTCAGGTTGCTATTCAACTTAATGATACTCATCCAGCATTAACTATTGCTGAATTAATGCGTTTATTAGTTGATATTGAAGGTTTAAATTGGGATGTTGCATGGGATGTAACAAAACGAGCATGTGCATATACAAATCATACACTTATGCCTGAAGCTGTTGAACGATTGTCAGTTGGTTTATTAGAACATGTTTTACCACGACATTTACAAATAATTTATGATATTAATTTACGTCATCTTCAAGTAAAAGCAAAAAAAGACTTTTGCCGTTTTTTTTTTGATTTTATATTTGTTGAAATTTCTTAGGAAGTTTCTG